TGAGATCAAGAATGGGGCTCGGCCCTGCAAAAGGCAAGACAAGCACCTGTCAGGCACAAGAATACATGCTGACAAGGAGAGACAGAAAAACCACAGGCACACCACTCGTTCGCTCTCTTCACACCAGTCATTACGCAGAGGCCAGGAGCGCCCCAACAGCGTCACCAGGCTGCTCTTGGAGGCTGTTGGCAACAACAGGCAGGTGAGGAAAAAGGGAAGAGGAGGTGTCACGAGTGGGGTTCACCTCCCTTTGACACTCCACAGCAGGAGCACAGGGCCCCAGGCCAGTGCTGCTGCTGTTGGGACCCAGCGAGGCGGCCAGGCAACAGAAAAGCGTGGAGGGCAAGGTGGGGAAGGAAGACGGCGGTGCATCTCCACACACTCAAAGGTAAGGAAGTCAAGCATTGCTACAGGAGGAACACAGCCAACAAGCCGGGCACCCTGCTCCTTCTCCACCTCTCAGCTCATGCCCTAAGCTCACTAGTGGGGCAGAGAGCACAGAGACCCTGTCCAAAACCACTCTCTACAACACTGCTCTCTGTGTGACTTCCAAGCAGGACACCCCAGCCGTCACAGACAGGCAGCACAGAAAGGGCCTTTGGGAAACACGTGGAAAGGCAGCAGCAAATACACGGGCACCTCGCAGGATAACATCAGCAACGGATATGGGCATCTGCTCCCTCCAAATTCCCCCTCGGGAACGGCCAGGCTGCAGCACGGCCTCGCTGGCCAGCACCAAAACTGGCCCTCTAACACCACGTGTCAATACCCACAATACTCATCACAGCAAGGTGCTGGATGGCCACAGCACTTCCCCTAAACCAGTGCTGACAAAAGCCTGCTCTGCTGCTGCAGCCCAACTGCAGCAAGAAGCCCTCAACAGGGGAAGTTCCCCAGGAGCACAATGCTCTGTGCGTGGGAGCCCTTCAAAAACAGGACGCAAGGCCCCCATCCTCTAGGGAGAGGGGGCAACAAAACCTCCCACACAAATCCTGCAGAGGCAAGCCCTCAGGAAGAGTCCTTGCTCTACACCTTGGCGACCACCTTCTCCAACAGCTGACCATTCAGGGCTAGGTTTCTTCCACACATTGACATCCTCAACTTTGCAGATAGGTCACGTGTGGCTCCTTGACCAGAACGTCACCTCTGCACGCAACAATGCTAAATTCTGATCCTCCTGCAGGCAGGCACAGCCCTGTGCTGTACAGCAACACACAGGCCACCACACACATGGGTGGGAGGGACCAAGACTTACTGGTATACAGGCTTATGGGCACTCCCTCTCCTTCTGTCTGAGCATCAGCCGCCACTGCAAATACTGTGAACGTGTACAACGTCCCAGGCTGTAAGTCGGCAATTTCAGCTCTGGTGACATTGGACGTCAGGTTCCTAGGGGAGGTACCATCACTTTTAATCTCTATCCTGTACGTGTAGGAGTTCAAAGCAGCGTCGTTCACTGTCCACGCTAAATTCACTATCTCAGTACCGATGTACGGTGCTGTGAGATCAAGAACGGGGCTCGGCCCTGCAAAAGGCAAGACAAGAAGCTGTCAAAGCAAACAAATATAGAAAGAGGAAGAACAACCATGGCCATATTTCCCCTTTTTGCAAAGGATGAGCATTATTTGTTGTCAAGCAGCACTTCTACAATACAAGTGCATCTCTTCCAGCTCCTGGAGGAAAGCACCATGATAATATGAAATAATACTATTCCGGTAACCCAAAGTAAAAAGCAGGGCTGCCTGGTACAGACTGTACGTTTACTTGCAAATGAGCAGCACCAGCAGTTCCTTACTTGTATACAGGCTTGCGGACAATCCTAATTCCTCGCTCATATTGTTGGCTGGTTTTGCAAATACTGTGAACGTGTACAACGTCCCAGGCTGTAAGTCGGCAATTTCAGCTTTGGTGACACTGGACGTCAGGTTCCTATCTGCAGTACCATCACTTTTAATCTCTATCCTGTACGTGTAGGAGTTCGAAGCAGCGTCGTTCACTGTCCACGTTAAGTTGACGTAACTGAGACCAACATACTCGGCCTTGAGATCAAGAATGGGGCTCGGCCCTGCAAAAGGCAAGAAAAGCACCTGTCAGGCACAAGAATACATGCTGACAAGGAGAGACAGAAAAACCACAGGCACACCACTCGTTCGCTCTCTTCACACCAGTCATTACGCAGAGGCCAGGAGCGCCCCAACAGCGTCACCAGGCTGCTCTTGGAGGCTGTTGGCAACAACAGGCAGGTGAGGAAAAAGGGAAGAGGAGGTGTCACGAGTGGGGTTCACCTCCCTTTGACACTCCACAGCAGGAGCACAGGGCCCCAGGCCAGTGCTGCTGCTGTTGGGACCCAGCGAGGTGGCCAGGCGGCAGAAAAGCGTGGAGGCAAGACTACTTTCTTCGGTTTGGTTTTTTGGGGTTTTTTTAGATCTGGGCTAGGTTTCTTCTGCATATTAACAACTCATCCTTGGCAGGGAGCTCGCATCCAGCTTCCTGACCAAACACATCACCTTTGCACGCAACAATGCTAAATTCTGATCCTCCTGCAGGCAGGCACAGCCCTGTGCTGTACAGCAACACACAGGCCACCACACACATGGGTGGGAGGGACCAAGACTTACAGGTATACAGGCTTATGGGCACTCCCTCTCCTTCTGTCTGAGCATCAGCCGCCACTGCAAATACTGTGAACGTGTACAACGTCCCAGGCTGTAAGTCGGCAATTTCAGCTCTGGTGACATTGGACATCAGGTTCCTATCTGCAGTACCATCACTTTTAATCTCTATCCTGTACGTGTAGGAGTTCGAAGCAGTGTCGTTCACTGTCCACGTTAAGTTCACTTTCTCAGGACCGATGTACTGTGCCACGAGATTAAGAATTGGGCTGGGCTCTGTGAAAGGCAAGGCAAGAAGCTGTCAAGGTGCAAGAGTATTTTCTGACAAATAGATGAAAACAATCACAAAAGACTCCTACCTACACAAAGAACACGCCTCTCTATATTCCTAGCGTGATTATCATTTTAACCAAGCCACACTTACACATTGCACAATGCAATGCTCTGATAGCTCCATGCCATGTAGGTGTGCGCTCCCTTTACTTCATGCAAGGCATTGAGAAAGACTTTGCATACAACCTGCTGTTTTTTCCTTCCTAAACTGACTCTTCCTGAGGGAAGGTCACAGTAAGTTTGAACTGTCACCAGTGCAGCCCAAAAAAGCCGGGAAAAGAAGAGAACGCAAACCTTTAGTAAAGTCAAACACTAATAAAATCATTTCAAGGCTATGCTATAATCACAGCTTTAAATTACATTCCCAGTGAGCTGTGCAGATACATTTCTCCAGCTGATTCTCTACTCCATCAAGGTAACTGGATCCACTCCCTGCTATGTTGTTTGCACTCTGGACTAAAACGGACCTAAAATGCTAACACAGTATAAAGGCACAAAATACCCTGATGATTCACCTCCCAGCCAAATTCCAAATCACGTACTTGTTACATTGTTCTGAGCACTTATTGCCCCATTGGATAGTGACATATCCCTTTTTGATCTTCCACCTCTATAGGTTTTGTTGTCACTTCTAGAGTTTACTGATAAGTCATCATTACTACTGGTTCCTGCTGCTGCAGTTATATTTTTCGAGCTGCAGTCCTGAAGGCCTGAGAGAAGAAAAGATACAAAGTGATAAATACCTTTACAGAACTCCTGGGTTTCCCATTTGCAAAAGTATAATCATTCATAGATATCGTGCATAGAACTGTAGGCATTTCTGTTCTGCCAATTCGTTTTTCTATAGAGAGTTCACTGTACATTTCTTGGCTTTACTGCTTTTAACTGCTGTCAGACCATTTGATTTACATTAACAGATTGCTAGGTTATTTAGGTCATTGACTCTACTCATATTCTGGAGGAAGGTTATCATGAGAAGCTCTTTATTTCAGTGCAGTTTTGTTTGAAAAGAACTGAATGAACTTACAGTCATATTCTGTGTGTGCATTTTTTATCATGTACTACCAGAAGCTAGCTGCTTTATTTATGCTGACAGAGTAATTTTATCTCTTTCGCTTAGTATATGAGTGCAAAAGTTCTCATATTCACACAGCGTATTCCCACACAGTATGCCTACAGAAAACAACTTTATGTCAATACAGTGCATCCCAGAGCATGGAGAGAGTTGACTCAGCCTTTTCTTTAATATTACACATGAAAAATACTATCTTAGTTGAAACTGTGATATTGTTAAAGAAGCAATGCGCATGGTGAGCAAGCTTAAGAAAGGTGACTGGGAACACCAGGGTTCCCCGTCCTGGGAGCTGGGGGTGAAGCGAAACAGTCATTTCTTAGTTTATTCAAAATGGATCCTCACAAAGATTCACGAAAGTCAAAACAAAAAATACTTTGGGCCAGGTTCACTAACAGTCCAAAGGTCCTTTAGGATCAATTCTCACTTTATTTTTAAAGTCATGTAAAATGAGAATTTGACCCTATCATTTTAATTTGGCCCTAAAATTTAAAGGCTAACTCATCTAAATCTGATGTTCAATATTTATGTAGAACTAACCTGCAACAAATTTTGGAAATTTTTGCCATGTGAAAAGTTGTTTTCTATGAATCTTTGGCCAGTATAACAGTTCCTGTACTCACTTTTAAAAATCCTTAAAGCATCACTTTGGGTGTTTTAAGGGTCGGGGGGGGGAGGGGGGGCCATTTGTTTTGTTTTGCTTTTAAGTATATTTCCCAATCTTTCAACACTAAATCTATACTTCATTTTTACTGGAAATCTTTAAAAATTGAAAAATTAGGGGATTAAAGTGCATGTTAAAAAAATGTAAGGATGTACTTAAGTGTTTTGCTGGAATTATGGTGGTTACAATATGTGAGTTTACATTTTCTAATACTATTTCTAAAAATGCTTTTAGGAAGGTTTTTAAATACTTAGCTGACACTGACCTTTCTTAAAGAAGAAAAAGAAAAAGTTATATACAAAAAAACCCCCTGAATAATAGAATGAGATACTTACAGGCAATTGTACATGTGACCTGTAAAATAAACAAGAATAAAGAACAGAAATTAAAAACTATTTAAACTATTAAAAACTATTTAAAACTATTGGAAGTTCAATTAAAATAGAAACCCATTTAATTAACTAGTACCAATAGAAAGAATCAATTCAAAATCAATTGTTGCTCTCAAAACTTCTCAATTTGCAGAAGAAATACCTACAAATCTACTGACATAAAAACCACAGCAAAAGAACATAGATCTGTTGAGGAAAAAAAAAATCAAAAATGCTGATAAACTTCCAGGAGTTTACACATTTTTTCCTTTTAAATAAAACAGAGTTTAATATTTTGGCACAAAAACAGGCTTGCATAACATATACTGGTTATTTTGCACATAAAAATTTAAAACGAAACCTACAAGATCTTAGGCAAGATGTACTTTAGACAGTACCTTTGACACCATCTCACAACGAATCGAAGGGTCAATCAGAATTAAAAGGTCATTTTTACTTATCAGATTTTCTTGTCACCCTCTTGTTGTATAGAGTTTATTATTACTTCTCACGAAATAACATTTCACAATTTCTTAAATCAAAACTCATTGAAGTCAAAGTCCAAAACACTTCTTAACACACATGTGCAAAAAAGGTGCCAGCAATTGCTATTAACTGCAACCTGAAACTGTCCCACTAGTAATATGGACAGGCATACACAAGAATTTTTGCTTGGAACATGCTTTTTAGTCTTTCAGCTAAATGCTTCTACTTCCAAATAGGCCATTTCGCTTCCTGCTAGCGCATGCATGAACTGGCCTTTAAATTGTGTTCTTTGTCTCCCTCCAGGTGGCAGCAGAAAATCCTCCCAAAGGAGAGAGAGGCACCAGGCTAAGGTCTGCAGGTGCCAGAGCAGAAAACAGTGATTCCATGGGCCTCTCATAGCCCACCAGTACCAGCTGATGGCAGGTACCCACTCTTGTCACCCCCCAAGCAGGAGATCACCTCAGCAATAACAGAGAGGCTACAGCGGCTCCAGGTGGCCCTGCTTTGGGCAGGGGTTGGACCAGCTGATCTCCAGGGCCTCTCACAACTCCAACCCCTCCATGGGTCTCCGATTCCAGGAGCCAGTGCAAAACACACAGGTATATCAGGACAATCCAATGCAAAGCCCAAACCTTGAATCGCTCAAATCGCAGCAGGGCTGACCAACACAGTGCCGCTGCCACTGGTCCCACAACCAGCTCCATCAGTGGTTGCTCCCTAGGTCAGGGCTGTGCTCAGATTAGCCAGAGGTTATCACTATTAAATTTAAAAAGTAGCCGGAGGTTACGGTTATTAAATCTTGTTCCTCCATGCTAGCAGGAGATCAAAAGACGCACTCTCTCCAGAAGCAAAGCAGGCCAGCCGGTTAGAAATGACCCAGAAGGAGGAAGCACTTCAGCTCTGCGCTGGTGAGAAACTCAGCAGAAGGTGGCTTGGCGTAGAGAGGCCCCCTTCCAACCTGTGGTGGTCTTGGTGGCAGAGCAAAAAGAGGTTGGTCATCTTTGCTTGGCAAAGTGCGCTTGTAAGAAGCAAGGAGTCAACTCCTGGTCTTCTCTGGTGCAGGCCTACTCATAGCTGACAACATGTACAGCAAAGCTTGGGACACAGAGATGTCCTATGTCCAACTGTGACACTCCTCCTCAACCCTTCTGAGCGTTTGGGAGCCCAGTCAGATTGCAAGGTTAGCCGAAAGTGAGGAAATGTCTTCTTCTGCACTCAGGTCAACAGCTCTTCTTATATTCTTTCACAAGCAAGTTGGCCAAAGGAAGAAGAGACTACAAAGGGAAAAGCAGCTCTTTTGAAGGCAGGAAACTTTCCACGTGCCATCCAGAGTAACGGTGCTAAGCTATCAGGAAACAGCTGCTGGGTGGCAAGCAAGAGGTGAGAGATCCTGAAATGCAGGGCAATCTAACAGCAAAGCCAGGAAGATGCTACGTTTGATAAAAAAGCGAAAGAGCAATAAATAAACAGAAATAATTTTAAAAGCCCCACCACAGTACTGAGTATGTCACAGTATTTTCTGTAGCCCTACAGGCAAAACAGCAAAAGCCTGACATTATTCACAACCTGTCCTTAAGTTACTTTCTCTCCTGTAGGAACGCATGAAGATGCCACTATTCTCAAATCCTCAGTTTCTTAAGTTTCTCATCTCCTTCTCCCCAAACTCAGAGCCCAGGGACATAGTGTCCTTCCTGAGCATCACACAACAGACATCACATGAGGGAGAAACACAGCCCTTGGACCTCGCTCCCCGCCTCTCTGTTTCTTACCTGCCAGCTCAGATGAGAAGCCCATCCATTCCTGGTTTATCTCTAGCTGCAAATATCTGATCTAATGGCAAATTATCACAAAAGTGCTAGGAGCTCTCTTGTACAGTCACGCTCAGATATCGTTAATGATGCTCAAACAGCAAAAGGGAAGTTATGCTAAATTTCTGTCTTGTAATGAATGTTTCCCTGTCTTTTTACTTGCTTTTGTTTATCGCGCACTTCCGCTGTCTCAGAATACCCCTCTAACTTTCCAGAAACCTATGTGAAAACCGAGTGCAACAAAGCACACCCCCTCAACAGCAGACAAGCCTCCTTCTGAAACCCCAAACCACTACAAACAAATGAACCCGTTCCCAAATGTCAGCTTGCCTGACTCGCTGGGCTGTATTTTTCAGCAAGAGCCATGAACTGAACTCTTCCCTGGCTTCATTTTATTATTTAATGAGACAGTATTTACACAAAACATTTGCTTATTATTTCAGGGGATAATCATGCTGAACACCTGACTCTCCTTGTGTTCGCTTCTAATGTATCAGAAGCCCTGCCATTTCAGCTTTTCTTTTCAATTACATTAAACCATGTTATTCATATATAAAGTTTGTTTTTTTTTTCCCAACCAACTAAGTATAACCTCTAATTAAAGAACAAAAAAGCCCACTACCCCCAAAAAGTAAGAAATACTTAAGAGATCAAAAAAAGAAAAGAGAGCAAAATTAGAAACACTGATTATTTGAGCTGAGCACTAGGAGGGATGCGCATATGCAAGCTCATCACTGTCATCAGCAGTCGCAAATGAGTCTTTCAGTGTGTCACACAGCCACTCTCAGCACCTCATCAAAGGGTGCCCGAAGAGTCCAATAATTAATCTGCACTCACATCTGCTCCTGCCTCCCTCACTCACGCAGTTTAGCTACCAGGAGTGGGTAGTGCATAATCAACACAGGATTAAGCTCCAGATATACTCCTCAGATATACAGTGGGTCACATAATTAAGTCTTCTTATTAGTCATATAAGTAATCTTACTGATGAAGGGAGCAAGATGCATGCAGGAAAACATTTTCAAAAATACTAAGTGACTGAGAAGCCTGAGTCCCACCAATATTCAGCAAGACTCAAGGGCTTTCCGAAGCAGGAGTGGAAAGGTGCCTGCTATACAAGCGGGCAAGAGGAGCTGTGGGAGCTGGCCAGTGGGTGAGGGACAGCACTGCCTCCCTTTTCGCGTTGCCTAGACTTTAGACCAGCTTGGCTCCACTGGCAAACAGCACTGTCTGGCAAAGTTAGGCTTCCCGCATGGGGAAAAACCTTGTCTGCAACAGCCTACCTGCCTGGGGTGCTCCAGTTTCCAAAACAAACAAAGTGGTTTGGTTAATGTAAATACAAGGTTAGGAAGCTGCCTCAACCCTTAAAGTGAACAAACCAAAAAAAACCCTTAGCCACAAATCCTTTCTGCAAAGAAAGCTTGAGCCTGCTGCTTATTATTTGTGTGCTCACCAATGCGTGCCTTGTGACTCAGACGCATAAAGCCAGGAAATTAATCATAACCCTCTCAAAGCTAACGATCTCTCACAGATGTGTACCTTTATCTTCTTCTCCACCCACCCATCCTCTCAGGTTTGGAACACCACCGCACAAATGCCACAGAGTGATCATGGTGGTCTCCAAATTCCTCCTTGAGCTCCTTTCACTAAAGTGATGGCAAGTAGGCCACTGGCTAACTGAGATTGGGAAGAGGGACCCTCGTTTCCTCTTTTCCCTGCTGTGCCCACCTACCATTAGTTGTCTCGCACCCACAGCTACGTGCTTCAGGGCAAGGCACCGCTGCAACCGTCATGATGGTGTTTAAGGCTCCACGCTTCACTGCGCATATTCAGCAGGCTCAAAGCAGAGACGTTCCCCATGATCACTGCTCAGCCAGCAAACCTCAACCAGCAAGGCCACGTAACTCAGCCTCTTGCAGTCCTCTCTTCTGTCTCCAATATGTCATACTCGGCATGTGAAAGTATTCCTAGGAAAGGTTTTGCTCAAAGTCACACAAATAAGTGGAAACTACACCCTGCAATGTCATTGTGAAGTCTTGCAATAAAGAAAGCGGGATTGCCTAAATACTGTATCCACACAGACTGGCAAGGCTCTCCAACACTTGCTGGCTTTCTAGGACTCACAGGGCACTGAATACTAGTCCAGCTGGGGGATCTTCTCCCCTCTCCGCTCGGAGAGGGCTTCCTGGACACCTTCCTGGAGGACGCAACAGTCAGCAATGGGCTGGAGTTTGGATAGGTGCCATGCTCTTGTCTTTCAGTCCTTCTCAGCACTGTTGCACCTCATGCGTTTCCTCATTATGCATAAATTAATGAAGTCCATAGGCCTATAGAACTGGATAAGAAAAATGCATCAACTGAACTGGGGCTGTATTCCTTTCTGCAGCCATTTACCTTGCATCCAAACTTAAAATTACATGCTGTCCTGTATGCAGGTACTTAAGAACCTACATGAACCTAGTTCAAGCAACATGCCTTACTTTGGCAACTTTTTTTTTTTTTTTGGGGGGGGGGGGGGGGGGGGGGAAAAAAACGAAAAAAAAGAAAAAAAGGGGGTTGTTTGTGTTTGTTTGTGGGGGGGATGGGGGAGGAGGTGCAAAAAACGGAAAAAAAAGGGTTGGGAAAAACCCTGGGGAAAAAAAGGGTTACACTAGAAAATGAACTAAGCCATAGTTGCACAAAAATGTTTTCATCCACTTTCTAGTTTCTTCCTAAAACATCATAAATCTTCAATTCCAGAATGCTTCTCTGCCTTTAAGCAGATAACTTCTGTGCACAAATTGTTACCCTATTATTTTACCATTATAAAGTGCGTAGAAATTCATGAAACTTAAATGCAATTAAAGGCATGTGGAGCCAAGGAAAGCAAGAGTTTTCCCCCATGTTTATTGTAATAAAATAAGAAAGGTATTGTGGATTAAGCCAGTATGCTGCAGAGTAGCTCCGAGCTGTGCTAGCAGGACAGAGCAACAACTAATTTCAATGGTATTTGTGGATATGCAGCCCTTCCGCATCAGGGCCTTACTATTTGAAGGTGGAAGAGTCAACACAAGCCTAAGTTAGGAGATAACATTTAATTGTGTAACATAATTTTGCTTAAGATCATAAAGTGACTA